CACAGGACACTGATAGGAGCAGCTAACACCATTTTGTTCCCAGATGAAGTTGAACCAATAGAGGGAAAGAGATGAGCAGTAGACCTTTATATTAAAATATTTGTATTTTATATATTTAGCAAATATATAATATAGAAATATAGAGTTTATTTACTGCCCTCCTTATTTCCCCCTCTCTTGGTCAATTCTCACTTGATCTGTGAATAAAATTAGCATTTAGTGACTGTCCTCTAACCATCAATCATCTCAATTTCTGTTTTAAAACTCTAAACACAAACATTGATTGCACAAGTTTCTATATTATTATAGAGATTTATAATGGCAGAGAGCAATCAGTATTTCTAATTTATTGAGCATTGTAGTTTTCCTCCATCAACTGATTGTATAGATTGCTCTACAGATTCCTTTATCCTTTCCCACTCTCCGAAGGCTAATTAGTGATTTAGTAGCCGGTGGTTGTCCGCAGCAATAATTAAAAGATGAGGGAGATTAAAGCAGAAAGTTTGTAATGATGCCGCAGTAATTAATCATTCTAAGATCCTGTGTGTATTTACTCTGTGTGTGCAGAATGTGAGGGGTTAATTATTATAAGATCCTGTGTGTATTTACTCCGTGTGCAGGATGTGAGGGGTTAATCATTATTAGATCCTGTCTGAATTTATTCTGTGTGCACAGGATGTGAGGGGTTAATCATTAAAAGATCCTGTATGTATTTCCTCTACGTGCACAGGATGTGAGGGGTTAATCATTAAAAGATCCTGTATGTATTTCCTCTACGTGCACATTATGTGTGGCGTTAATCATTATAAGATCTTTTGTGTATTTACGGTGTATGCAGGATGTGAGGGGTTAATCATTATAAGAACATGTGTATTTACTGTATGTGTTCAGGATGTGAGGGGTTAATGATTATCAGATCCTGTGTGTATTGACTCTGTGTGCACAGGATGTGAGGGGTTAATGATTGTAAGATCCTGTGTGTATATACTCTGTGTGCGCATGATGTGAGGGGTTAATGATTATAAGATCCTGTGTGTATTTATGGTTTATGCAGGATGTGTGGAGTTAATCATTATAAGATCATGTATGTATATACTGTGTGTGCAGAATGTGACGGGTTAATCATTATAATATCCTGTGTGTATTTACTCTCTGTGTGTGCAGGATGTAAGGGGTTAATATGCTTCCTGTGCAGGATCCTGTGGAATCTTAATAGAACGCTGTGCACATCATTTAACTCTCTGAGTACCATACAGGTATTTAACCCATTACTGACGGGCTGGGAATAATATATAACACTGCCAGGGTTTATTGCATTTAATATTTCACACTAATATCCTGACAATACATTGTGTTTAATATCAGAGGGAGATAAAATAACTTATTATAAGATTATATGATGAGTATATAGTGCGTTACTTTTACTCCAATAAAGTCTGAATTACCTTATAATGTGTGAGGTTTCAGGCTCTGACTGTGTTGGATATAAAGACCTCAGAATAAGGCTTTGGGGGCTGACATCGTCCTTTTCAGACTGAAAAGATAAACTGCTCTTATCTGATTGAAGTTTCAATTCATGTTACTGTGTTCTAAAGGGGAACCTGCAAATAAATGAAATATGAATACATTACTAGACCGTATACACTGGGTTAATAGCGCAATATACAGTTACATGCCATACATTGCATTGAAATGTCCAGCGATTTGCATTCTGGGTAGCTTGTTATTAAAAACAATACATGAGTATACGTCAAAGAAAAATCACTGAAAAAGACACAGAAAGAGGTGATAAAAATAAATTCTTTCAGATGGCTCAGCACAGAAGAGGTTAATAATGTTAGTGTCCCTTTATATTGTGTCTCTGTGTATATATTTATAGATTTTAGATGGACTGCTTTCATGCGCATTTGTAACACCGATTCACATATTACTGAATGCATTGCAAAGAAAGCCAAACTCAGACCCAGAATCGTCCATTATCGCGTCTAATCTCTGCGCAGTCTGACAACGTTCAATAATGACGCTACAAAGTGCAAGTATTAAACGTCTAAATAAATCCACAAGATCTAATTATATCAATAATATTACAGGAAATCGCAGTCTTTATCTCACCTGATGTAAAGGTGTCCGATACTCACCTGGAAGCCAGCTCTAGCACAAGCAGGTCAGGGGGGTTGAGAAGGTAAAGGGTTGGTTTATATACCATGGTTGCCCCCAGGGGATGGACGGTCTGGGAGTGAATTGAAGGGTCCCTCTCCTCACAGCTCATTAACGATGTCATAGCATTTCATTAAGCTATAATTACGGTCTGCAAAGCCCAACTATTACATCATATATTTAATAAATTCTAAATCCATGTAGAAAGCTCTGATATACGTCCTTTCATATAATAAAAATCTATATTATTATTATTATTATTATTATATTAAAAGAGCTGCGCTATAGGTGGACTAACAAACAATTAGTCAATACAAACAAATTGGACTCAGGTACAGTAGGTGCTGCGTAGCTTACTATGTAACTGGTGTACAATGACAGAGAGAGATATTACTCTATTAAACTGATCAACTTAGCCTTTAGGTGAAGTGCACAGACTCAGGGATATATAAACTTACCAAAAAAAATAATAATTAATATTTTAGATTTCAATTCCCATGAAGATTTATTGAAAACATAATTAATTAATTTAACTGGATATACCACTCTATCAAATGTGTGGTGACCATATAAATGTGTGATCAATGTATTTAATTAACTTAGAAACCCATTAAAAAAATAAAGATAAAAATATCTCAGATCTATATATTCAATTAGAAAAGTTGAAAAGAGAAACTAAGAATTTAGATAATAAAGAAAAATAGATCAAATAAATAATATAATTAAAAAACAGCTACTTAATAAAGCAAATATAACCGAAGCGAGAATGAAACAAAGATGGCTTTATACGGGTAACAGAGCGATTACTCTCTAATCAATTGAAAAAACATAATCAAAAAGCAAGAATATTTCAAATTGTGGAAAATACTAAAACCCACAGATCTCCAGATAAAATTGGCACAGCCTTCAGAGAATATTACAATACTCTGTATAATATCCCACACCAACAACAAAATAAAGAAAGCATTAGTAAATACTTTAATTCTGCTAATTTACCCTCATTAACGGAAGATCATTAGAATCTTCTTTTGAAATATTCCAAATAAAAAAAGCCATAAAAAAGCTAAAATGAATAAATCACCTGGACCAGACAGTATCTCTTACCTCTTATATAAAAAAATTAGTAGAAACGTTGTCACCCCAATCAACGAAAACCTTTAACGAAATACGTAGCGTTAAATGTTTTCACTGAAGAGATGCTTTAAGTATTTATTCTACCGAATCCAAAACCGTCTAAAGATAATTCATTACTGCTAAACTACCGACCAACATTGTTAATTAATGTAGATACAAAAATCTATTCCGCAATATTGGCCGACAGAATCAATCAAATCATCTCCTCCTTGATAGGAAAGGATCAAACAGGATTTGTTAAAACTCTCCAGGCAAGCAGGAATATCAGAAAAATAATGGATCTAATTGAATATATTGATAAAAAACTGATTCCTATGATGTGTCTTTCCTTGGTCGCTAAAAAGGAGTTTGACAGGGTCAGTTTGTTATTTTTGTAAGAAATTTTGAGAGCTTTTACATTTGGTGATAACTTAGTTGACTATGTCATCGCCTTGTATATTAATCCAGAGTAGTTGGTAGACATGTGCAATTCGTTTCGGTCCGAATATGAATTCGGACGAATTTCGGGAAATTCGAACATTCGGGTACTTCCGAATGTCCGAATAGACGAAGTGCCGAATTACCGAGGTCCCGAAGTTACGAAGTTGCTGAAGTTACGAAGCACAGTATTGCCTAAGTACTAATATACTTACCCAGTGAAAGAAGAAGAATGTTACATTGTATACAAGTTTAAATAAAAAGTATACAAACATAGCCAGGATTCAGCTGTAAGCATTTGCAACACTTACAACAATCAAGTAACACACATACATATAAAATGTAAGTTACTTAGCCAGTCAATGGAATGACAGGAATGAATAAGTAGATAACTCCCTAATTCACACAGTATTAGGGAATTATCTACTAAATGGCTGAAAGACCTAAATTGACAGACAGACACCATGACACAGACAGACAGACACACACACACCATACAGACAGACAGACACCATGACACAGACAGACGACACACACACCATACAGACAGACAGACAGACACCATGACACAGACAGATAGACACACACACCATACAGACAGACACCATGACACAGACAGACACACACCATAAAGACAGACAGACACCATGACACAGACAGACAGATACACACACACCATACAGACAGACACAATGACACAGACAGACACACACACCATACAGACAGACACAATGACACAGACAGACACACACACCATACAGACAGACAGACAGACACCATAACACAGACAGACACACACACCATACAGACAGACAGACACAATGACACAGACAGACACACACCATACAGACAGACAGACACCATAACACAGACAGACAGACACATTACTAATACCTGCCGGTGGGAGGTTTTCTGGGGGCCGCTGGGGAGGTCATCTGGGGGCTTCTGGCGGCTGCTGTGGGACTTGTCCTGGTGGCCGCTGGGGGAGCTACACTGGCTCTGCTCTCCCGCCCTCGCACGCTGCTGAATGAGACCGGCGCCGGAATATGATGTCATATTCCGGCGCCAGTCTCATTCAGCTGCGCGCTGGGGAGCAGAGCCAGCGCAGCTCCCCCAGCGGCCGCCAGGACAAGTCCCCCAGCGGCCGCCAGAAGCCCCCAGAAGACCTCCCCAGCGGCCGCCAGCAGACCCAGGTGTCTGCCCGGTCCCAGGTGCCAACGGCCCACTGGGAAATTTCCCGGTATCCTGGTGGGCCAGTCCAGCCCTGCTAGGTACACATGTGCGTCACGGGGTTATTCAGGGGTCAAGGTGCTGAGCACATTGCTATCAGTCACGAGGGCATCAGTAACGGCTGTTGCGATGCCCTCGTGAAATTTCATGCAGGGGTCCGCACGGACAGTGCTCTGAATGTAGTGCTTGTCCGCGAGGGCGCTCTGGAGTGGGAAAAACGCAATATATAAGGCACTTTGAGGTGATATTTGGTGCAAGAAGCAAAGTTAACTGTAGAGCTGTTTTACTTTTTTTTTCTTTTACAGCAAGTTCTTTTTATTTTATGTGTAATTAGCAATGGAGCATTTGATTGAGGAAGTGTAGAGGAGGGCATTCAGCAGTGGAGGTGCTAAATGGCTCATGCAGTGCCTTTTGGATGCCCCTTCTTCTCAAATGGATTCATGCCCACAGGATTCTTTATTGGACATTATAGTGCCTAAAGAGGAGGAAGCTGCTAAAGGGGAAGACTCTGAGGAGGAGCATCAAATGTCTTTATGTTTGAGTGACAGAAGTTTACTTCAGGGTAGGAAGAAGATAAATTGTAATTTAAGTGTGATTTATTCCCTTCATCCACCAGAGGGAGCAAAAAGTCTAAAGCTGCAGGGAAAAGGAAGAAGAAATCATGTCAGGTGGCTGAAAATAGGGCAAGTACCGGTCATTGAAGTTGGTGAGCAAGCTGGCACCTCGCATACTGCGCCCGCGGAGGGAATGGACAATTCGACGGGTGGGGTTTCTCCTGAAGCCAAGCTGGGAGAGGCCATGGGGTTTTTATCTCAGGCTATTCAGGGTAAAGCTGGTAGTGCAGCTATGGCTTGGGTGCAAGACAGTTTGAATTTGTCAAATTCACCTGCATCGGTTAATTTGGTTAATTGTTCCGACAAGAGCAGTATGCATATTAGTGAGTCTTGTTTGAAGGAAGCTTTGGCGTGCGAAGCTTCACCTCTTGGTTTTCATTTAACTAATTGCATTAAAGAAAAAATATGGAATGATGAATTAATCGAAATTCTCTCTTTATTACCAGCCTCTAAGGAATTTGTGTTACGGCAAGAAAGAGATGAGGACAGGAAACGATCGGTACCCCAGTTGTTTAATACTTGGCTTCAGGCGCTTTGCATTTTTGCTAGTGTTTATTGTGAACATCATGCAGATAAAGCCAGCTGCCTTTTTTATCATCTAGATCCTATATTAGAGGCTTTCAAAAATTTTGGTGGATTGGCTTGGTTCAATTATGATGAAATATTTTGTCAGAAATTATCGGTGCATAAGAATTTGAAATAGGGTATGAAGGATGTTGGTTCTTGGGTAAGCATTATGCTACCAAGTAGAATTCCTCAGAATCAATATAGACCGCAGACTCAGGTGAGTGGGTTACAAATACGCCCTAAAGGTGTTTGTTGGTCTTTCAATGAGTCACAGTGTAAATGGCTGAATTCTTGAGGGTTCAGACATTAATGCATTAATTGTGCGGGGAGTCATCTGTCCTTTCGGTGCTTTAAGAGGCAGGGTGAGGCCGCCAGGGAGCAGATTTCTAAGAGCAGTAGTCCAAAATCTGCTCCCTTATTTAAAATGCTGTCCAAACCAGCAGATAGCACAGCTAATTAAAGAAGGTTTTTTTATTTGGTTTCAGAATTCCTGTTTGTAGTTCATCAGTTCAGTTTGTTGAAAATCTTAGTTCAGTTAAGTTGAATACTAGTATAGTTAGAGATAAGATTGATAGAGAAATAGCTTTAGGGAGAGTGGAAGTTCCGTTTTCAGTTCCGCCTTTTTCTTATTTTAGGGCGTCTCCGCTTGGTTTAGTTCCCAAGAAGGAGAAAGGTACCTATAGATTAATTCACCACCTATCTTACCCGAAGGGTACATCATTGAACGAGGAGGAGGATACCTCCATTATTTCTGTGTCTTACACTTCCTTCGAAGATGCTCTGAAATGGGTAAGGAAGTGTGGGCAGAATGCTCTATGTCAAAGGTCGGCATTGGATCAGCTTTTAGGCTACTTCCTATACATCCTGACTGTTTCGGTTCTTTGGGTTTTCAATTTGAAGGAGAATTGTATTTTGATAAATATATGCCTATGGGTTGTTCTGCTTCTTGTTTTTAGTTTGAAAGTTATTTGGAATGGGTTCTTAAACAGGTTTCGGGTTTCCATTCAGTTATCCATTATTTCGATGATTTTCTTTTTATTGGGAAAGCTCAATCTTCAGATTGCTTTGATTTACTACAGATTTTCATGTCCATTGCTCAACAATTTGGCATTCCATTGGCAAAAGAAATGACAGTTTGGCCTGGTACATGTTTACAATTTTTAGGTATAATTATTGATTCTGAGCGAATGGAGTTTCACTTGCCTGAAGATAAGATTGTCAGAATGAAGCGTGAAATTTCTCATTTATTAGATGTTAATAAAACAAAAGTTAATGAATTGCAGTCTGTGTTAGGGTTACAAAATTTTGCTTCAAGAGTAATGCCTATGGCTAGGGCTTATTCCAGACATATGTCCAGAACTATAGCTCATTTTAAAAATCCGCATCACCATGTTAGAATTTCTAGACAGATTAAAGAAGATTTATATGTATGGAATGATTTTTTTATGCAACTTTAATGGTTCCACGATTTGGCAAAGTGATTTTGTAACCAATTGGGATTTGGATATTTTCACAGATGCAGCTGGGTCTCAGGGCTTTGGTATATACTTTCATGGTAGATGGGCAGCAGCTGGTTGGCCCTGGACTTGGGTTGAGAATGGTTTGACAAGAATGATTACTCTTTTGGAGCTATTTCCGATAGTCATAGCCCTAGAGGATTCGGGCTCTGAATTAGCTAACAGGAAGATTACTTTTCATTGTGAAAATATAGGGGTTGTTTGGGTAATCAATTCTCTTAGGGAAAAATGTAACCCGGTGATCAATTTATTAAGACGCTTGGTTTTCACTTGCTTGGTAAATAATATATGGGTAAAAGTGAAGTGTGTCAGGACTGCCTAAACTGTGAATTGCCTTGCTTTATATGTTTGGATGTACTCTCCTAGAATGTGTTTCCCCTCCTTCATATTCCTCTTTCGGTAATTTTGACCATAAAATCCTGCAATACACCTTTTGACAACCCGGGGGCGCTCCAGCGCACGGAGCCCCATGCCCTGGACCATCTTGGCACTTCATTTAGAACATGTACTTAGAATGTTCACACCTTGCTAACGAGGTGTGAAAACCGCAGACCGCAAGGGAACGAGTGGCGCTTGTTTCCCCTGGGTGGCTGCCGGTTTGTATCACCTAATGCCCACCAGGGGGAGCATTCGACTCCCGAACCGGCCTGCGTACACTGTCTTCGATCCCGGTGTCAAGGATCATTCTACCTGCTCCCCAACGGAGCTATAATCACTCATCCCTTTCCCTTACCTGGGAGCTACAAGGCTACACTAGTGGCTGCCCAGGAGAGCACTCTCTCTGGTGGATACCTGCGTGGGGATATCCACCGGAGAGATGGGGCTGTGTGTCGGTCTCACGGCCGCAGGATTCCTGCTGGCCGCATGGAAGTCCATGACGACCAATGGGAGAAGGTGCGCACATTCGAACTAAAGTAAAGCGCTGATTGATCGCCGCAGGGGGCGAGCCACCAATCTGAGACAGAGCGCTTGTTCGAATGGGGTTTCGCGCCCTTCCGTCTGATTGGGTGGCGAATCCCCACTCGTCCCTGGGTGCTGATTGGCACGAATAAGTTTTACGCCTTTCCGCGTATTGGTGCAGCCGAGTTTCGAGCCCTTTCTTCAGATTAGGCAGCAAAACTCCTCCCTGCCCCTAACGCTGATTGGCGTGATTTGGTTCGCGACATTTTGGCTGATTGTTTGTTGCTTGGTTTAGGCGCGAAGGTTGAATTCGCCAGACTAAACCAAGCAACACCATGGAACTAATTTTGGGGATGTACAGAGCCTTGAGCCCCCAACTTTTGATGCTGATATCTCCGGCTCTGTACATCTGATCACCCCGCTTTTTGCAGGGATCCTAGGGGGGACCCAGGGCTATTCATCCATATAAAATGTAACCCTGTGCCCCCTTCCCGTCCCAGGCCGCCGAGCCCCAAAGTTCACCCCCCTGTAAGTAATGTGTACTCATGCGTGTCCCTGTGTCCTTTTAGTATCTCGGGAGATGGTTATCTGTTCCCCAGTCCCCTCCTGGATGTGTTTTGTGTTGTGTTGGATGGAGACCCACTGCGGGAGTCTGTGCATAAAAAGCTGTGTGGAGGTGACAACGGTCTTGCTTCTCCGCTTTACCAAGTCCGAAGGTAGGAACCGTGTTGTCAGCCGTGGGTATTAACGCTGGGTGCCGGTCCCCTCTTCGTCCCCTGTGCACATGGCACCCGCCATCTTGGATTTCGTGGTCTGACTCCACAGCTGCAGCTGCAGCGTCCCGGTCAAGGCCTTAAGTTGGGGACCGGGATCACCCCCCGGACCATGGGGGGGTAACAGGGGCGGATCCGCCCAGATTAGTGCCTCAGGTTGGGTGCTGTAATGCAGGACAGTGGGGCAGCGGCCATCCGCCCCAGTTAGTTTAGCGAGAATTTCTCCTCCAGGGGACTGTAGCTCGTGGAGCCAGCCTCTCCCTGGATCCAGCCATCCTGCTGCATTTGGCTTCGTGGCTGTCGGTCTGTTGTTCATTTTAAAGGTATGGTTTTTGGTTGTTTATATTGTTGTGGTGCAGGAGCTCTGCTTGCCTGCGACCGTCCAGCTCGGCGGTCCGGCCCCGCCCCCCAGTTTGGATATTTTTAATAATGATTTACAGTGCATGATTGATAAGGCCGTGGTCTGGTGGGGTGGGCTGCAGCATTAGTTACATGCTGCAGCTTGTGGGGTTGAGGTCACCTGCCTAATTTAAAGTGGGGACGGACTAGCTGAGTTTCGTAATCATTTCGTTCTGGCTAATAGGGCGGAACTCTGGGGAGTTATGTGTTAAACCAATGTTTGGTTACAAATTACGTGTTTTTAAGTAAATAAGTTACGTTTGTAATAATTTGTAAACTAAATAAAAGACCACAGCCTTTTCAGCACACATCTGAGTCTGTGTTTTTATTATCATATTTCTGTGCCTTACTATGTTATGTATTACTTTGCTGTTATTATGTATTGGTCCGAATTAACCCCTACTGAGCACATGGGGCTTGATAGTTTTGAAATCAGGCTTTGCTTATTGCAGACGATCAGCTGATGGAGCACAGACTTTCTTACAGCAGTATTGGGCTTGATATATATTTTAAAATAACCCGAAAGTACCCCCAAAACACATGGAAACCCCATGAACCAGTCATATCCCCTGATAGCCCCGATCTGGGGGACCAACATATCCAAAAATCACCCAGATCGGTTCAGGGGTTCAGGATTTCCATGGAAGTCCTAGTTTGGCACGAGGCTCCTGCCTAAAAGAGTTTCATGAAATCAGGCTGAGCGGTCGGTCTCTTTCGGGAGCACAAAATCCCCATCGCATGGGTACGCTCAGTCTCTGTCCCTCGTTCAGGAACTTGCTTCCACCGAACGCCATTCAATTACCACACGTTTTACCAAACTTCGATGGAAGTGAAAGTTCTAGTAGTGTTCGTGCCATCGAGGGTCCGATTTGAGTTCCATGCACTCGACAACCAAACATCGCTGTATGTGTTCACGTCTAAAAATGGCCACCACCATATGTTCTTCCATACGAATGATGGCCACCCAGCCAACCGCTCAGAACGTAGAGGTAATTGCGGTTACTGAGGTGCGAACAAGGGTCAAAAGGGTCAATGAGCAGCACACGCCTCCCCTGGGTGGTCTGGCTGTTCAGCAGTTTATTTGGTATAAGAACTAGATGGGTCTCAGATGTACGTGAATCCCATATACCGAACTACCCAGTGTAGCAAATAAGCAGAAATTAACAGTATGATAATCCAGAGATAGGCCTTTCTTAGGCTTCATCAAAAAGCAGAATGCCTCCAAGCTCTTACTGCATGGGTGAAAGACCTGGGCATCAAACTAAACAGAGAGGGTAGGTGTATGGCCCTTTCAGGTATTTCTTATGCAGTAAAATGCCTCAATTTACTAGAAACTCATTTAAAATTGGTTAATTGGTTGTGTATGGTACCCACAAGACTATCAAAAATATTCGCTACAAACTCATCTCTATGCTGGAAACGCTCTGAAGAAGTAAATTATGTCCACATATAGTAGAATGGTTATTTGTTATAATTTATATGATTGGTTAGATAACATACTGAAATTCAAACTGGCAATTCAAATGAACAACAGGTGGAGCTATAAGAATACTTCCCTCTCTTCCTAATGTGACAGTATGTGCTGAAATATAAACACAATAATGCAGATTAAACCTGTATACAACATAAAATATCTTGTTCTCAATAAAGCACACTCACAAGGGTAGAGCCATATAAAAACCTGGCTCTAGTGTGTATCCGCTTAGGATCCTTAGGGAGATACAAACCCCACTCCAAAGAGGAAGAAGGTGGTCGAGATGTTGCCCTCTCAGAATGATGAAGTAGCAGATTCAGGTTAAAACGTAACAAATTTATTGAGTGTAATAAAATTAAAAAGAATAAGCAAAAGTTTTAGACCAAGAGTCACCAAAACGCGTTTCACCAGGTTGTGGCTTCTTCAGTTGGTGGATAAAGCTTAACTTTGTCCCTGTGCTGTCTTATATAAGTCCCAAATATAATATGCACTTGCATTAGGATCTCCCCATAGGAAAGCATTATTCAATTCTAAGAAGCCGGAACAGGGCCGCCATCAGAAATTTTAGGGCCCCTGACACAGCTCAAGATCTGGGCCCCCTGGGCCAGCCCCGAGTCTGCCCACAAGGATGAAGTGTGTATAGTGGATGTGGTATGTGTGTCATGGATGTAGTGTGTATAGTGGATGCAGACTGTAAGTTTTGTGTAATGTATGTAATGTTTGTATGCATGCATTAGATGCAGAGAGTGTGTGTAATGAATGTAGGTGTGTATAGTGCATGCAGAGTGTGTGTTTTTGTAGTGGATGTAGTGTGTGTACAGTGAATGGAGAGTGTGTTTTTTGTAGTGGATGTAGTGTGTGTACAGTGAATGCAGTGTGTATTTTTGTAGTGGCTGTAGTGTGTTTGTAGCGAGTGCAAAGTGTGTATAGTGCATGTAGTGTGATTGTGGTGAATGCAATATGTGTATAGTTAATGTAGTGTGTTTGCAGCGAGTGCAAAGTATGTATAGTAATTGCAGTGAGTGCAAAATGTGTATAGTTCGTGTAGTGTGATCGTAGTGAATGCAAAATGCGTATAGTTCATGTAGTGTGGTTGTAGTGAATGCAAAATGTGTATGGTGAATGTAGTGTGATTGTGGTGAATGCAAAATGTGTATGTGAATGTAGTGTGATTGTGGTGAATGCAGAGTGTGTATAGTGAATGCAGTGTTTGTAGTGAGTGCAAAGTGTTTTTAGTAAATGTAGTGTTTTGTAGTGAGTGCAACGTTTGTATAGTGAATGTAGTGCGTGTGTGTGTGTAGTGCAGTGTGTTTAGTGAATGTGGTGTGTGTAGTGCAGAGTGTGTGAAAGGGTTAATGTTGTAATGGACTCTAATCCCCTCGGTTCTCGATCCCTCGGTCACCATAATCAACGTTGATGGAGGATCATTTGTAAGCAATAACACACGGACAACAGCTTTACAAGACTCTCAAATGAGTGTATTCCAGAGCTGGCTTTTATACATAGTTTGCTTACATTAGCCATGGTATATGCAAATACAGTACAGACTATAAGATTTATTACTTCCTTATATTACGTTATTCTGACAATGGAAAGATAAGCTTTTGCATACGTCTGGAAAAGAATATCCTGAAATCGGAATGGGCAAGACATCCTGAAATTTAGCATTGTCTTACATCCTATAGAAGAAATACCTTAGTCTGTCACAGTCAGCATATTATGTAAGTATTCAATATCCCTTCAGTCAGCAATAATCATGTTATAAACCTTATAAAAGCATAAAATACATATAAACAAGTTAACTATTTAATATTCTTACAGTGTGTTTAGTGAATGTAGTGTGAGTGTGTGTAGTGCAGTGTGTGTTTAGTGAATGTAGTGTGTGTGTGTAGTGCTGAGTGTGTTTAGTGAATGTAGTGTGTGTAGTGCAGAGTGTGTTTAGTGAATGTAGTGTGTGTGTTTAGTGAATGTAGTGTGTGTGTGTAGTGCAGAGTGTGTTTAGTAAATGAAGTGTGTGTGTAGCGCAGAGTGTGTTTAGTGAATGTAGTGTGTGTGTTTAGTGAATGTAGTGTGTGTGTGTAGTGCAGAGTGTGTTTAGTTAATGAAGTGTGTGTGTAGTGCAGAGTGTGTTTAGTTAATGAAGTGTGTGTGTAGTGCAGAGTGTGTTTAGTGAATGTAGTGTGTGTGTTTAGTGAATGTAGTGTGTGTGTAGTGCAGAGTGTGTTTAGTGAATGTAGTGTGTGTGTTTAGTGAATGTAGTGTGTGTGTGTGTAGTGCAGAGTGTATTTAGTAAATGAAGTGTGTGTGTAGTGCAGAGTGTGTTTAGTGAATGTAGTGTGTGTGTTTAGTGAATGTAGTGTGTGTGTGTGTAGTGCAGAGTGTGTTTAGTAAATGAAGTGTGTGTGTGTGTAGTGCAGAGTGTGTTTAGTGAATGTAGTGTGTGTGTGTAGCTGATGGCACTGGGCTGTCCTGAAAATTACATGTGTTTAACTGCATTCGTGTAAACTGCTGGTTTTGTATGTGTTGAAATAAAGTGTATTCGTCTGATTGTTCGGTAGAATCATTCGAATAAACTAAGGGAATGAAACTACCGAGCAATCAGACCTCCCCTGTGTGAAGTGTGCCTTCAATTACCCGTTGCAACAATGTTGCGAATGGGTAATTAACAAGCTATGCAGTAGGTCCTTTGTTCGCGGGGTGGCCGCCATTCGGGAAACAAACATGTGGTGGCGGCCATTTTAAAACTCCCGAACAGCGGTGTTTTGCCGTCGAGTGTCTGGAGCTCAAATCGGACACTCGACTAGGCGAACCCCGCTGAGACCTCCACAAGCCCGGTCCATTTGGTTCCAAACTACCGAACGACCCCTCGTTCGGTAGACAGAAACAACCGAACGAGGGGATTCATGCGAACCCTCCCTGATCTCTGTAGCCTTAGCCTTTCGTGTAATTTATTCCCTTATACTGGGAACGACCGGAGGGCCCCATCGCATGGAACCCAATTCGGCTGTTCTCTCCAGCACGGTCGGTCTTTTTAGTACTTCCATAAATTTCCCGAACCCCTGGTCCGATCTGGGTGATTTTTGGATATGTTGCTCACCCAGATCAGGGCTACCAGGGGATGTGCCATTTAAAGGGGTACCCCTAGGTTTAGGGGTACATCCAGAAACTGGATTAATGTAGAGGCCTCTCCAGGTATCTCTGGAGATGAGGCTGAATTTCTGCTTTACTGATCCTGCTGACATGCAGGCTTTAATTGACACTTCCATGGCAAAAGCAATGACAAGGCCCTGGTGTCAGGCCGCAAGGCCGCGATTGGTGTACAGTATAAGGGGATTATGAGTCAGGCTGAGGGGAGGATACTGTAGTAAGTAATGAAAATCCCTCCCTTGCATGGGAGCATGCTTTATAAGGCCACTGTGAAATAAAGGTTTTCAGTTCTGCTCCTGATGCTGTGTGTCGTCCAGTTATTGAGATTGCTGTTGGGATACTGTTGGATTATTTTACCTGCTGGAAACCTTGCTTGTGGATTTATAATTACTTGTTCCTGAGCCTCACTGGGATCTAAAGCGGAGATAATCTGTGGAATATTGTATCTCCGCTACAGTGTGTTTAGTGAATGTAGTGTGTGTGTAGTGCAGAGTGTGTTCAGTGAATGTAGTGTGTGTGTAGTGCAGAGTGTGTTTAGTGAATGTAGTGTGTGTTTAGTGGATGTAGTGAGTGTGTTTAGTGAATGTAGTGTGTGTGTGTAGTGCAGAGTGTGTTCAGTGAATGTAGTGTGTGTGTGTAGTGCAGAGTGTGTTCAGTGAATGTAGTGTGTGTGTAGTGCAGAGTGTGTTTAGTGAATGTAGTGTGTGTGTTTAGTGAATGTAGTGGGTGTGTGTGTGTAGTGTAGAGTGTGTTCAGTGAATGTAGTGTGTGTGTGCTTGTAAGGATGCAGTGTTTGTGTAAAGTAGGGGGGAGGGGAGTATTTAAAAATATATATATTTGTGTATATTTAAAATCTAAATTCCCCCTTCCCTGGTTCTTACCTTGCCAGGAAGGGGGGAGATTGCATTCCCTGGTGGTCTGGTGGAGACAGCCAGCCGCGTTACATTGCAGAGAGGGGCCCAGCAGAACACACTGTCTTCCTTTCCAGTTCCTCTCTGACGAACTCTCGCGAGACCGGCCGGCGTGCTGTGCGGAGCATTGCCATGGTAACCCATGGCAACGCTCTGGCAGCCGCTGGAGAGTTAGAAAGAGAGGAGCTGGAAGGAGGACAGAGTGTGATGCTGCCCCCCCCCCCCCTGCAATTTACAGGTAGGGGGGCCCTCAGTGCACAGATTCAATGAGCTGAAGTGTTCTAGGTGCCACAACATAAAGGCACACTCTTATTTAGGGTTGTTGTTCCAGATTGTTTCCTGCCCAATCCATCCCAAATTTGAAAGGTATACAGAGGGAAACTTCTAAGGAACCATGTGCAGTAGGTTAAAACTCAGAGGAAGGACCAGAAGGCGAGATTAGGTTGATTTTTATTTTCCCTTTTTTGGGGTCTGAAAAAGACGAGTATAGAATAATTTTTTTACAGGTGATTTAGATTTATTGACGGCTGACTATTATCAGTGTGAAATGGGTAGACAGGAACAGGTGCTACATAGTTACCCCTGCACAGCTGATGGTTTTAAACTATGCTCCCCCTGGCTGACAGCTGCAAACAGTCAGTCATGTTTTCATTCACTTTCAAAGAGCAAGAGAAATTTGTGAAATCCCAACACTGCTAAAATTCGGCAAAAATGTACTGCTTGATAAATATCTGCATTTTATACTTTCTATAAAAGTACTATTTTATATCAGACGCCAAATTGATCTACAGATGGTACTCATGCAGTAGTAAGTAGGAGAATTGCCATTCCAGTTGGTATCAAGTCATTTTTGTCAAATTTTGTTGATCCAAACAAAATATGGTGCTTACTAAACAACCCCTTACAATATGGATGTGATACAATATTGCAACAAAATGTTATCGAATGGCTCCATCTTGTGGACATCTCAGTTAAGTGCATCTTTCAGACTCCGTCAATTTGTAATCCTGAGAAATCTATTATAGGGAAATATAAATCCATACAGCCGCAATAGCCTACGGGCATTGATAGGATTGTGGGTGACATAATTTGTGATGCCCCCTCAAGGTCTTGCCCACCATAGCCCGATTTTCCAGACCAGTGTGTTGGGAATTGCAGCGCTCTAATTAGCCGCAGTTGTATCAGGTACATCTGTGGTCCTTAAGGACCATTTTTTGTCGGACATACCTGATACGTCCGAGGTCGGGATGGGGTTAACAATGCAAACAGTCCGTCATGGCTTGTCTGTGCCTCTCCCCCTCCCTCTTCCTTTTCTGAATGTATTGCTTGTATGTGCCTCTACCCCTTTCTTTTCTGAATGTATTGCTTGTTTTACCTCTCCCCCTCCCTCTTCCTTTTCTGACTGCTTTGCTTGTATTTGCTTCTCCCCCTTCCTTTTCTGAATGCATTGCTTGTATTTGCCTCTCCCTCTTCCTTTTCTGAATGTATTGCTTGTCTGTGCCTCTCCCCCTCCCCCTTTTGAATGTATTGCTTGTCTGTGCCTCTCCCCCTCCCTCTTCCTTTTCTGAATGTATGGCTTGTCTGTGCCTCTCCCCCATCCCCTTCCTTTTCTGAATGCATTGCTTGTATTTGCCTCTCCCCCTTCCTTTTCTGAATGCCTTCCTTGTATGTGCCTCTCCCCCATCCCCCTTCCTTTTCTGAATGTATTGCTTGTCTGTGCCTCTCCCCCTTCCTTTTCTTAATGCATTGCTTGTATGTGCCTCTCCTTTTGGATGTATTTGCTTGTCTGTGCCTCTCCCCATCACCTTCTTTTCTAAATATATTTGGCATGTTGCCCCTCCTTCCTTTTTCTAAATGTATTGCTTGTGTGTGCATCTCCCTCCCCATCCTTTGCCTGTCCTAGTAGGGCATTGTCCAAGGGACACTGCCAGACCAGTTTAAACTAGCTGCTGTGTTTCCTCCTCCATCTTTCTATTAGGATTATAGGGAAGGATGCCCTGGGGTGTTGGGTTGGAAGAAGGCGTGTGTAGCCCTAAATAAAACCTAATCCTACTCCCCTGGCATTAAGTCTCAGAAGCTAATGTGGCTGGGTTAGGGGGACAGCTATACTGCTCTATTTACTTGCTATACCTGCTATACTCTCTGGCGGTGAGCTCTACCCACTGGGATCCATAGTGGAAATAGGTGGTGAGACCCCAGCCAAGCTGCGAAGGCTAGGGGCTGGAAGTGCTTATGGTACTCGGTGATAACTAGGAAGCGTGATTGGCGGAGGTACCCAGTCGGGGTACTAGACGGTTCGTCACAATGTGGTTTGATAGATATTTTTGCTACATTTGCTGTTTTGGCAGCTTTGCACTAGGATAGCTGAGTGCCTAATAGTGATGTTTAACCCTTTTACCCACAGAATCCAGTGATGTCCAAGTTGGAGTAGTGGTGTTTGTGACATGTATGTGTTGCACAATAGTAATGTATGTATTTCCGTTAAATTGAGGGAATTTGCATGGTGTGTGATCTCTTCTAGCGCCTGCCTATATGCTCAAAGAGAGTCTTCAACTTTCAGACCAGAGCTAAATGAGATCCACAGGTGTACAGGACACCTTAGCTTTCTGGTGACTCATTCCTATTGGATCAAAACAGCTCAAAGAGTTTTTAGCATTGCTGTCCTTTCCTTAGAGTTGGCTCATTTTACGTCAGGATAATAATGGGTGGAGTGATGCTTAAATATTTCCTGTAAACCCATGTCTAA